TGTTTGTAGGTAGCCAAAAAAGTTGTTGATCAACACTTCAAAAGAAAATGTTGCTATCATTTTGTCAATGGGTACATGACAAAGAATGATCATTAAGTTTGCTAACTAAATATGCATTAGATACAGGGCTCCTAAAATCACCCTGAAGACTACAGGATTTTACTTGATTTTTACCCCAAATTTCAACACTTCCTGTTCTAAGCCAGAAAAGTTATACTTCAACTCCTTAAAAGTCCATTCAGAGCATTACAAAAAATTTATGGGGCTCTGGAAAAGCAATGTCTACAAAACAGGAATAAAAGACATCCCTGTCCATCCTTCATGGCTGAAATGCTCTATAGAAATCTTAAGGGTGTCAAGGATCCTGTCTTACTGAAGCTGTCACCACTGCAGCGGTTCTGCAAGACCCTCCTTCCAGAACCAGGTGCTTATGTAGCACAGCCCACTCTTGTGCTGTTCGGTGCCGACGGGCGGCTGCAGTGCCACGCTGTGCTTCGATTTCCAGAATGCCCACTGCAACGGATGTGAAGTGAAACCTTCTAGGGCTCCATCTTGTACAATCTCAGATATGCCTTTAGAGGAAGCAATCATTCGGATTTTGGCAAAAGCTCCGTGGTTCTGGTGACAGTGAGGTTTAGATCAAGCTGATAGGACTGTTCCCTCCGTGCATCAATGACAGATCTGTGCAGAAGGAAGTGGCTCTCAATTTGTTTTCATGCCATTGCTAGCAGACGTTATCAGCTTCTTCTGGAACCGAGGATCTGCATTTGTCTTTTTCAAATTTATCTCAAGGACAACTTCTATCCCTCAGACTGGGGGGGTGTGAATGCAGGTAATACTGCAGAGACTGTTTTTCATAATGAAAGAGCTGCGAGGTGTTCTGAGGGATTTCCATGCTAATTTAGAAATCTTCTAAACCCAGGATTCCAAAATAGGGACACAAGCAGCATGATCTGCATAGGCCTTACTTTGCATGATTCATTTTCCTATGAAGGCAATACAAGCAGAAGGAGAAACGTTCCTGGGAGCAGTCAATGATTTGTCTACAGATAAAAATGAACTGACACGTTAACAGCAACGCTGCTGTTCCACTCGAAAGAATTCCTGTACAGCCTGCTTGAGATGGGCAATGGAGTAACTCCTGGAGGCCCAAAATGCAGTCAGTGGGAAAATCGTGATTGTTTTCTCTGGTCAGTGTCCTGAATATCAAGCCATAGAACTATGCAGGATTGGTTATTGACAGAAACAGATGTAGGATCAAAATTTGCTTTCCACAGTTTTTAAATAACTGGGATAATCTCAAAACAATTTCCTGATCAAGAAATGCAAACACTTTACCTTCTTTGCTGAGTTTTTCATCCCACTGTATTCAGCCGAAGTTATAACATGCTGTTTGAAATAAACATGTATTTGAATTTATAAATTTGCATGCAATGCTACAGAAAATGAAGATTAATATTTATTACTGAAAGGTAACATAAAACCCAAACACAAAGATTGGAAAATGAGTAACAAAATAATGAGCTGTTTAAATTAGCATTCAGTGCAACAAGAAGCTTATATCCAACTTTTGCAGATTTATGGAAGAGATGAAAACAAAACATAGTGACAAAATTCAGGAACTAATTCCACCAGTCCATACAATTTCTTCAACAATTATTGTTAGGACTGGACACTGATAGGCTAATCCAAAGGGCCATCACTGATCAACACATTCAAAAGGCAAGAAGTCCTGAATTAAGTCCTCATCAAAAGAACATGAGCAAGGGAACAAGACACTTCATTTCACCAGGACAAAGCACTTAAAACACTGAAAGCATTCCTTCTAATCTTCAGTGACGAGAAACTCTCTGCAAGGAAGGTATTTCACTTCTCCATCATTAGATGGGCTCTACAAAAGCCCCACTACTACCTGCAAAATTGCAGGCAGTATCTACTTCAGCGTTAGAGCAGGTAGATTTCCTGTACAACCACCAGGAAGTTTCTTTTCAGGCTTAAAATAAACACAGCTGTGCCCTCAAGAGTAGCCAAACACTAAACTGTCCCCATGAGATTCAAGATCCATCGCGTTCGGGGATTTTGTCTTTGACCCGATGACAGAGGTTTTTATGGTTTCTGGAATGACTTTACATCCAAGGATAACTTTGAAGTTTTAACAGTTAGGATTGAAATCTGAATTAGAGAATAGTTCCAAACCCAGACAGATCCTGCTACTGTGACAATACAGCTTCATCACCCAAAAGCAAGATACACTTTGCAGAATGATGACAGGAGTCAGTAGGTTTGGGCTTGGGTGCATGGGAGCTGAGAACTCCCAACTGAGTTGAGTAGGTGCTGTTATAAGTGGAGCAAGCTGCCGCTCCCCACCACCCACTGCTGCCCCAGCTGGAGAAGCTTCCTGCTGCACAGGCCCTGCATCACCCACAGCTTCAGGAGCTGAAACCTGTATCTCAAATTGTCCCCTTGGAAATGAGGACGCAGCTGTAGAAAGGGTCCTGTGCAGAGACACACACTTGACTGTTGCCAAGCAGCCGGTGCCGTTTCGGGGCTGGCTGCAGTTTCCAAGGGCCACGCCAGCAGAAAGAACACCGCGGCACTTTCATTCACCGCGGCACAAGGAGGTGAACAGAGCTGCTGCAGTAAAAGCACCATGCCGGCCTGCAGGCTGCAAACCCCTGGCACAGGCAGCAGCAAATGCTCTGTATCACCAGGTGCCGACACCAGCTCAGAGTCCAGCCCAATCACTACCTTCCACCAGCAAGGAACTGACACTGCTTTCAAGTTTCTTAGCCAAGAGAACATAATGGTAGGACTCTGGACTACCTGTGACATACTGTGCACAGTCCCTGACTCAAAATTTTATTCTAGCCAGCAAGTGAGTTCATATCAAACAATACAGCTGAAACCCAGAAAAATGTTTGGCTAGTTCCCCCCTCCCCACCAAAGGCTATTTAATCAAGCGATACAAATAACCTAACTTCAAGTTAACTACAAATTCTATGATTTTAAGGAGACTTTGCTTCCAGGACTCTTCATATTAAAAATGAAATGGATTTTGGTAAATTTAAAAAAGAAAAATATTATTTTTTTTTTTTACCAATTCTCTTCTAGGGTATTTGTCAGCAGCTGTTCTTGGGTGATCATTTACAGCTATGACATGCTAAAACAAAAAAGAATAATGAAATCCAGCTCCCTGAAAGAATGCAAGATTCAATGTTTCTGGGAAAACAATGCATAATAGAGAACACGAAATACATAGGACTCAGGAGAAAAGTGGATTTGCATGGTTCTTTTTATTCAAATGTTTTTTGTCTTTTTTTTTTTTATGTACATATATAGGGGTATATATATATAATACTTGCCACCTTTGGCAGCTGTTGGTTAATGCCAGGATTCTACATACAGGGCAAACAGGTACTTTTCATAATGGAATCTTTTTAGTCTAATGAAGGGCATGATATACCCAGGCAGATGCTTAGCTCACCAAAGCTGTTTCTGGTCTTTTGTGTCTGATTTTCTTGCAAGTTTTATTCCTCTTAGTGTTTTTGTGACTAAGTCTTCCAAGATGTGCTACAACTAACAACAAACTTCTGTCAAAAGTTTGGATTTTTTTTTTTTTTTTTTTAAAATGCTTCCCTTAATTTTCTTCTCCTTTGTTCCATCTTTTCACCTCAAGCCTCAAAAGTAGATTGAAACATTTGAGTACATCTATTTAAAAAAAAAAAAGCAAGCAGAGCAGAGTCATCCTCTTTGCCAATTTCCAGGCATCAATAGGTCAACATCAAGCATTTCTACAGAAAAATCATGCCATAGTGAATTCACAACACATCAGCTAAAGAAATAAATAGTAGCTGTTCTCACTAGAGAAACCACAAATGTAGTAGGATAAAGCACCAACAAAAAAATACCTCACATATGACACAGTTATGCAGAGGATCTATTTATTCCTGAGCAGGTGGTCAAGTAGAGGAGAGGGAGGAAGAAAAAAATTTAAGCTGAAAACTTTATCAACTGAAAAAGGCACAAACCCCCCAAAATATTGAGGCCTTTAAAAAAAAAAAAAAGAGAAAGTTTTCAAATTGAATGCCTTTTACTGACTAAAATGATTATTTGGTGACAATGCCAGAACTGAGTATTAAAGAAGTGACATGAGGTGTTTAGGAACAAATTTCTCTTTAACAAACAAAAAGACTGAAGATTTTAAATAGAAAAAAACAGTTTGATGAAAAGACATGTTTATCTCTTTAGAAGCTTATCTTCCCATGCCTTCACATATACAATATATAAATCTGCGTGTGTAGAATCAACAGAAATTCAACCTAAAAATATTTCCTGTTTTTTTCCTTCTTATTCCTTCTATTTCAATCTAATCTAGATGTAAAAGTGGCAAAATTATTTATGACAAGTATTTAATATTGAGATTATGGGGTACATTTCTTTTACAGGATTTGTATAGTACATTCTCATCTGTTTGAATGCAGATACATCATCACAGAGGAGACAGTGCATACAGTTTACAAGAGAGATTTGTAGTAAAATTTCGAGATACACAACAAACAACTCAATATAATACTAATGCGGAACCCAAGTGCAAGTTTTTCAAACTGTACATGTATTTTTAAAAAGATACAGCCTTTTAAAATGTTTATATATAGAAGCATTTTCATTAAGATCAAACACTTACTAAAACCAGTAAAATCATAGCAGCAATATGGGAGAATATCTAAGCCACATGAGCATTAACAATGAAAATAAAAACGAGTATGAAATATTACATGACTTGGCTGTCTGCATTAAATAACAAGGATAGGTAACACACCAATTACCTACGCCAAACCATCAAAGAATCTGCAGTTTAAAAGTGCATTTACCAGTTTAAAAGAAGTGTTGAATGTTGACTGTGACCAACACTGTTCTGGAGTGCTTCCTGGAGAACTCTCTTGAATCTTTTAGTCCAAGCCTGGCTGAAACTTTGAAACTAGGGATGCTTTTAAATATGTATTCCTTAAAACTAGGCTTATTTTATTTACACTATTCAAAGTTTACTTTTCCTTCCAACAACAAAATGTGCAGGAGGATTTACTACATGCTATACAATGTAAAAATAGACTTTAAAAAGCCAGAACAACATGAGTAAAACTGTACAATGTTTGTTCCCTGCTCCAGTTCATTGCACTATTAAGTTAAAACGGATGAGTTGTCATGCCCAGAAGGACTTACTGCAGAATTAGAAAATCCACATACACACAGAGAAGGTAAATGCATACTGGTTTGGGTATAGTGCCAAATGAAAAAATACTATGAGTTATATACACAGAAAGCTTCTCATCACAAGAAGGAGGTTGGCTAATTCTGAAAGGCAGCCCTCTTCATGTAGGACACAGCACTGCAAAAGAACCAGAAATACACCTTGATAAACATCACTGAAGTTAGTCCGGATAAAAATGTATCATATATACTAAAATACTTAACTGTTGAATTCTACCCTATTAGTAACATGGTAAAATATAGAAATCAATTGAAACGGGCAATTAAGATATCATCCTCTTCTCAAAAGATAATTAAGTGACACAACCCACTATCTTTAACTAATATTATCCAGAAATGAGTTAATTCAAGGTCATGTCTTAAACAGTGCTTTTTGAAGCGTTCTATTAGAAAATGAAACATTAAATAAAAGGTGACGCATGCAGTTATGTTTTAAAAATATGCACTGACAATCTGAGATTCTAACTCTACTTTCTAATTGTGGTGCATGTACTTGAATCACACAGTGGGGAGACAAGACATGTCCTTCACGTGTTTCTCATTCCTGTTTCACATGTGAGACACAAACCTCGGAGCAATCCAGCTTTCAAACCAATGCTAGCACAACACAAAAGCAAATAAAGAAGTCAGGTGTAACAAGTAAACAAAAACTTCAAAGAAAAATAAAATGTTCTTGTTATCTGAAATACAGATTTAAAAAAAAGAACAAGGTGTAAATTCTTCCTTTATTAAAACAAAAAAATGAGGGTTTCAAGCTTCTTTACTAGAAGCTTGAAAAGAAGCTTGAAAGATAAGATATGAAATAGCAAAGCAATCTGAAAGAGGTAAAATTATTCTTTCGTAACATCTACATTCAGAAAAAAGCCTAAAAGAAAATAATATTACACATTTCATACATTTTACTCAGTAGTAACATATATTATTTTTAACACTGTATTTTTATGTCACAATTACCATTGAGGACTTTGCCTGTTCCACAGGATAAATCTACATTACAACGTAACACTGTCAGCTGAGCTATAAATATTTAAGATAATCTAAACATAGCATTATGAAGCTTAGTTAGGGCTACACTGAAAGAAACAGTAAAATTCTGTGCTCACTGGCTTGTACGACTGCTTGCTGTTGTGCACAGAGAGAGATCAGGAAAGGCTTTGTTCTGTTCAGTGACAAAATGGTAGCTGAGGGGGAATCACCCTTTCCTTTCAGTATGAGTGACGTAAGTCATTACTCATCATACTCCCAGCATTTGTTTTTTATAATTTAGAGACAACAGTGCCTGTATATGATGACCTGTTTGGTGCAGCACAATTAATGCGAGTTGATGTTTTTGTAATTGTTGCATCTAGCTAATAGACCATCCCTGGTGATTTTAAAGTCATGAGCATGCAGAGGCAGGAGGGAACCTCAGTATCAAGCTTCCTAGATCATCCTGTCCTATGTTCAGCTAATCTACTTTTAAAAGCCTCCTCTGCAGAAGATTTCTCCATTTCCCTAGACAGTCAGTTTCTTCTCAGTACCCTGGAAATCTAAAAGCCTTTCTGGATAGCTGCATCTAAAAATAAAGAGCAGACACTGGAAAGCGCACTATTCATTCCAATCAAGTTTCTACCATGTGTATTATGATGAAGAACAAACAGCTCTAATTATTGACAACAGGTCATCCTCTTAGGTTAAAGACTGCTTCACAAAACTAAGGTTTAATGTCATCACCATTAAAAAAAAACCTTTACCTTGAGCCTAAATGGTGCTCTGCTCATAAGCAAATATATCTGTCTAATTTAAGAAAGATTTTCAGAAACAGTAAGTATGCAATGGAGATATCAGAGGAATCAGTCAAAAGGATCTGTACATTCTTATTGTATGTGGCAGTTCTGCAACCCTACACAAAAGTTATAAAATGAGCCTCTTCAAACAGTCTGCCAGAGCTTCTAAAATACTGCATGGCTCTCCAGATTTTCTGAAGCAACTGCACACTAAATTTCATCCACAAATTTAATCTGAAAGTACTTGCAAATCTCTGTGAGATGCGAGTGATGTTTAAAAGTAATTTAACAACCTGGAAACTGCCTGGAACAACTCCTTAAAGCTAAAGTAAGTAGTGGTTTTCAATATCTGACATTCTATTAATATAATCAATGCCTAAGAATGGAAAATAAATGACTCATACACAAAGCTTTTAAATAAAATGTGAATAACGTATAACAAATAAATGTGAAATATGTAATTTTTACTATTGATCAGAAGGTAACACTTAAAATGAAGCTATAAGCACTTCATCTAGTAAACGCATTGTTACCAAGGAGCAGTTTGAACAGCAATTCTGAAAAACTTTTACAGCACAAGTTTTTAATTATATCCATTTAACTTTGTAAGCCAGACTGCTCTGCTCTTGCTGATGTCCTTCAGCTACTTCAATATACACCACATACCTTGCTATACTATACCATCACAAATAAAATAAATAGGTTTTATTTATGAAATATGCACTCAAAAACCTTGAACAAAAAGGACCAGACTATAAATGAGAGCTGTATTTGACAGAGGGGCAACATAATTCATGAATGCTGTAGGACTACTCTTTTCAAATCGACCTTGTATGTATGTTAAGTTAATTTAGAATAATAAAAGAAAAAATCTCCCTGCTAAGAAACATACTCACCCTTTAAAATATAGTCCGTTAACAAGCTTGGCACTTTCTCGCTATCCTCTTTCATGGCATGCAGAACTAAAGTAATAAATAAATAAATAAATAAATAAATAAATATTTAGTCATAAATTGGAGATAACACTCTGAAAAGACATTCCATGGAACTGTTTCAACTATTCACAGGGATATCACTACAGATTAGTAAGAAAACTCTTAACTGGAATATGAGGAGATACAATGAGACACATCATATCTCCACCTTTCCTTGCATAATTCTCAATAGCTCCACAGTGGATGGATGCAAGAGCCCCGTTTTACATGGCTAATTATTACAGTAAGGTGCCAGCAGTCATAACAAAAAAGCACCTCTTCTCTGTAAAAATCTCTCTCCAAAAGACAGTCAACACATCCAACGCTAAAATGTGCTAACAATTGTTGGAGGGTTGAAAATCTTAGGCAAAATGTATGCTCTGTTTCTTATTTCCTAGATCTTGAGCTCAAATCACGGAATAATGACGCTTTTCTAGACAAACACTGCTGTGAATGATTTGATGAAAAAGTTGGTAGCTTTCTTCCCCCCTGAAATGGTGAATGCTGTAGCTTAGAACAATCTTAAACACATGATTGAATTTGACATTAATTTAGAATAATGCCAAAATGCCATTTTGTTGACTTATATCAAGTCAAAATTGTCCATCCTTGCATATTTCTGAGGAAGGAAAAACATTCAGACTAGCTCAACTTGACACAAATAAGCTGATACCTTACTCCATAAATAAAAACTGACAATCCTTTATGAAGTACTCTGGACACAGCTGAATGAAAAGTACAGAATTACAATGAATGTCAGTATTTAATATACTCAAATTCCTCCTGAGACTCTGAACTCAAAATACAACAAGTGTTTTATTTCAGTTTTTGTTGCAGACATTAGTGTTCATAACTACACAAAAGCATATGGCTTTGAAAGAACAACCAAACAACCCCAAACACCTGCATTACTATTTACCTTAACAACAACACAGAGGGGATCAGAAACCTGCAACTGAGTCACAAGATCAAGATCCAACCAGCCCACAGAAGGTAATACTGTTAATAGTCTTTACAGTGCATTTGTGTAACACATTTTATTAAAAAAAACATTGAAGAACACAAAACATTTTCAGGAGGCTTCAACCTCTCTCTGCGTAATATTGAATTTTTGAGAATATCTTCAAGAGACATTTAAATATGTCAAGAGGATCAATTTCTCTCTGCAGGAGTAAATATAAAATAAAAAAAACCCATTTGCCACTGAACAAGTATGAATTGCCAGTTAAGAGTGCCTGCTGCAAAACAATAAAGGGAATTTAACTCCTGCTTAAACATTTCATTTACTCCAGAATTGTACAATATTTCTTTTCTCCTTCCTGGAGACAACCAATGAGCCTTTTACCATCCTTCAGCCACCTGGGGAATCACAGACCTCTGCTGCTGGAAAGCACCTTAAGACGTAGTTAGATCCAAAGCCCCACACTGAGATCTGATCAAATACACTGACGCACTCAACCATCTATTTTTACACTGTTCCTATAAATCTCAAATGAAGGTGATGGCATTGACTGCCAGAGATGCTCTGCTGTATTTAACCACCTTAATTACTTTTTAAACGTACAGCCTTATTTTTCATGCAAATTAAGAATAAATAAATAATAACTTAAAAAGCACTTCAAACTCCAAAATTATTTTGAGGATATGGCCTAAAAAGTTTTGAAGAAAGAGAAATTCAAAGCACTGTCAAAACTGCTTGGTTTATACTCCCTAATTATTAAAATTAATTAACAAAACCAACAACAAAAAAAGAACAAAACCAACAGAGAGAAGCAGGCTACTGTAAAGGCAATCAAGAGGAATCATTACACAACTACTCACAAGTGTCCTGACATCCATTCCAGTTATTCAAAGTCATTACAATAACCTCAATAAAGCACAACAATTTTAAGCAAACAGGTCTATCAGTATTGCCAATTTCTATGACATGCAGTATTTTCCAAAAAGCCCACCTGTTGAACATGTGGAATGTGAGAACATTTACTTTCAGATACATGCAAGTTTTTTGCCTTCAGCTAGAAGCTTTCTAGCTAGAAAACAAACATCACAAAAGCTCAGAAAACACGTAAAAACTGGCCAAAATGCATGGTTAGAAATCATGTGACTTTACATGCATGCCATAGGTAATGGGGAAGAGATAACTGTATGGATTCACTGGCTTTGAGCAACCACAGTTGGAAATAAAAAGAAAGGGTCAATGGGGGAAGTTCATATGCTCACTTTTAGTTAACGTTTGAAGATCTTCAACAGATGGGGGTCCATTTTTCTTCTCATAAGGAATGACGGTTGTTAAGTACTGTCAAATGAAAAACAGAGTTATATGACAGTCCCTTCATACAACTTGTTTTACTTGCATTTGATTTTGACAGTACAGTAGTAACTGAAACTGCTAGCCACAAATAAAAGCTTTACAAAAGATCATACTTCACAAAAGATTCTACTTTTCCTATCCCGTAGCTTTTATCACAGAAGCCAACTTCCATTTCTTTTTCTTTTTAAATTATGTGACCACTTCAGAAGTCATGCAGCTAAACAGTTTAAAAAAAAAAAAATATACAAAATTGGGGCTGTTCACAGTGATGTTTGTCAGGTTTCTTCTTTGGAGCCTATGCACATCAATAGTAAAATCTTTCCTCTTCTCAAGAGGTCAACTAGAAGTCCTTCATGTATTTAAAGTACTCCTGACAATAAAATAAAAGCTGGAAGAACAACCTTCCCACTACTTCCCCTCAAACAACACTACAAATACAGATAAGCAATTTAAAAACTTGCTCTGACTTCTCTTTTTTCTTTTTTCTAAAAAAGAAAAAAGAAGAAAAGTAGTATAATTATCATGTGAGTGTCACCAGTTGTATCCAAAGTCAGAAAGTAATTATTTCCAGAAGTACATTAAAAAAAAAATAAATCTTTCCAGGTAAACATTGACATTGCCTACAAATAACTTGGTAAACAGTCAGCTTTTTAAAGGGTTCCAGAGCACAGCTCATAGAAGCTGTGCAAGTGCCTTAAGTAAGGTGTTCAGGTTCGTAGAAGAGTGCTAACAAGTATTAGGGAAAAATATATATATAAGAAAAAATTTCCAACTCAGCATATGCTATGTTTGCACAACCCCAAAACAGCTGTAGGATTTGCTCAGTGACTGGTTAACTGTTACTGAGAATGTGAAACATTCCAAAGATTTTGACAGATCAAAGAGCATTGCCCGGTCCCAGCTCTGAGGGCGATCTACAGTCCCCTGTGCAAAGATAATCAGGCTGCTCTACAGTCAGTAGAAAATGAAAAGACAACTTCCACCTTCTGGCAGTACACACTTCCAAGCAAAAGGAATAAAGCAAGCCTAATTAAACATAAATCAAGCCCCAAATGGTAGAGTCTTACTCTTAGTCTTAATAGTCAAGTGTGCTAACAGATTGTTTCAAACCAACTCCATTTTTGTTCTATTTTCTCTTTACTGAAATCTTTCGTTCTTGTCAGCTTAAAAAAAAACAGGAAAAATTTCCTTAACTCTTTCAGGATTTTAATACCTGCAGTGTGACCAACATTTATTTTCAAATTCTTGAAGCAACTCTATTGCTCTTTTATCCAGTGACACCTTACTTTGCAGCCTATATGAATGCGCGTTCCTAGAGAGGTCAGCATTTCTACAATACAGAAATCACTGGAATTCTCCTGAATGGAAAAGCTTCCTGACATCACCCTCAATTCAGTTTTGAAGAATTTAACAGGAAATTTATTCTGGGTTAACAGCTATAAGGCAGGAGCAAAGTAACCCTCTGTCTCTACCTCAGCTTGCTGTGTGGTTCTCCATGCAGCAATCAAAACGCCCTGTATGCGAGGGCTCCTCCCCACCTAGTAGCAGCACTTCAGCGCGAGCCAAGGGTAACCGGGACTCTGGTGAGGAGGTTCACTTTGCAGAAGATTTCAGGCTGCCAAAGACAGCTGTAACCATTGCCATGTTTTGAGTGGGATCAGGCACCTCATGCTCAACCCTATCCTCTGCCAAAAAGCCAAGGAGGCTCAGTTCTCTGTTGCTGAAGGGACCCTGCTGTACAGGATGTACCGACACCCCACCAAGAACTGATGCAAACAAAGGGTGCTTTTGTCCCTCCCTTTTCCTTTCCCATTTTCTCACATCCCCTTTGCACAGCAAAGTCTGCAGTGCTTCTTAGGAAACAATCAGTTTTCAATTTCTTTTCCATCAGAGGTAACCAACAGATATCATTAGAGACCTACACTCTTACTAGAATTACTGGAATCAATAGCTAGATACAAAGCTGTTAAATCTGCAGATGTCAGGAGGTGAAAGTAGATCTACTGCCTCAGAAATCAGATCTCAGGCTGTCTTTTAATGACAACTGCATCATCAGATGAGAACAGGGAGTTCCCACTGCAAGTTTCTCTTTAAATAATTGAAAAACTCCAAGTAATTTTCATTTATGTTTCAAGCAAACAAAAGGACTAAAATTTTAAAAAGGAAAAGTACCCACTATCAGAGTAATACTATCCAGAAAATATTAAAAGTGGTAAATACCATTAAAATTAAAGACTGAAAAGAGTTCTGAAATAACTGTACAAACATGTAACACATTTTATGTTGTGACTTTACGTGTATGAACTTCGGTCTCCTAAGGCATACAAAAAAATGCTCGTCCCTGCGTATTTTTTTTAGCACAACTCCATACTGTTTTTAACTCTTCCTTGCTAGCACAAAGCACCTGAATGTGAATTTATAATGAGAGCACACCCTGAAGCAATACTGAAATTAATATTCTGAGAACAGCACTAAGCAACTGAGTATCTGATACTTTTTTTCACTTTGGAGCTTGCTGGAACAAGATGACACCAGTATTTTAAAAGCAGGGCCATGGTTTGGTAACATGACAAAAAAAATGAACAAGCAAAAAAATTCCAAGAAATTAACAAATGCCATAGAAAGATGGATTTCCAGAACTAAATTAAAAGAGAGTTGGTATCTTTCCTTCCTTTCTCCCCTATATTTCATTTTAAGTTCTTGTTATTTCCATGATTGCCTTCAGGGTAAAGGAAGGGGAAAAAAATACCCCATCACCATACCCAAGAACTCCATAACCCTGCTAACAAGGACATAGTATAAGATAAATCAGGGGTAAAAGTATGATCAACATGAAGAATAACATTATTAAACTAACTCAAAAAACAACTGGAAGAGTTATCCAATCAGTGTTTTCATTAATATACACTTATGCTACTTATGCCAAGAAAGTTAGGAGGCAGTCAAAGAAAAGGTGCACTTGAATAGTGACAGGCATATAAAAGAAGTATTTTAACCAAAAGTAATTTGGGCTGGCATAGCTATATATATTCACTTTATGAAATACTCAAAATAGTTAAAGAAGCTGGTAAACAGTTGCAGTTTATTATTAAATGGTAAGATAGCAAAGAAATATAAAACAACCCAAAACCGCACAGTTATTACTTTACTGGTATTGAGATAATGTAGAGTGATAAAGACTCTGTTGGGTAAGCTCTAGCTTATGTTCCAAGATCTCCAAATCTGTGGACAAATGGATGGATCTATGTATTCATTAGCTCTCATACACATATTTTGAGAAAGAGGGTATGTCCACCATTTCTAACCTCATGATTCAGGAATGACTTGAAAGGAGTTGTTCTACCTCCTGAACTCCTTGCAGGATACTCCACTCATCCTCCAGACAAAAACTTCATCAGCTATGACTTCTAAACTACCAGGCAGCTTATGCAGTCCTCAATGGACTTCTTACCAGGGGAAAAAAAAAAACAAACCAGAACCAACAACAAAACCAATGAAACCCCTCATCTAACACACTGCTCTGACACCAATGCATAAACTATAATGGGTGAGTATGTGTGCCAGAAGCCTAAAAAATAGCATAAGCCTTATCCCTGTAACAAAATACAGAATACATTTAATAAAATACATACTACAGTTCTGAAACAAACTGTTAAGTATTACTTTGAAACAAACCATTATAATCTTGTTACTTAGGTATATATAATAACTACAGTGATACATATTGAAGCTGGGTCTCCATATTGTGTATCTTGATATTTAATTAGTTAACAAAGACACAAACTTGCCTAGGGCTTATATATTTTGTATCAGTAATCTGCATTGTACACATTTGGCTGCTTTTAGTCTCATACGCTTTCCAAAGGCAAAAGGACACACAGCAGAGTCCAGCATTTTCCAGTTGCTACTATTTTTACACAGATCAGCTCTGATCTTTTGAAGAAAAAACAAGATCTCTTTTTCAGTTGGAGACATTACCAAAGTCCTTAATGCTGAAGGGTGAACTGTTATGTCTAATCGGATACATATTCTTCAACTTACATATAAAATTTTTACAGACATGCTATGTATTTGAAGCACGTATTGTGCCAAAACAGACTTTTGGTCTGGGGTAAGAAATAAGGGTTATTATTTCAGTGTACCAGGATATCAAGTCCTGACTGTCTCGAGCCATTGAGGAGAGAAAGAGATCGTAGGCTGATCAGCCTTTCCCCTGAGGCAGGGAAAGACCACAGACTCCACCACTGTTGTCCTATTTTTCTAGTTTCAGCGTTTATCTCCAACCATTGTTAATTTTCAAAACGTAAGAAGCTCCTACCGAAACTGCAGGCAAAGAATGAGAAAAAGAGAGCAGATAGCCCAGCACCTGTTTCTCTCCACCCGCGTTTCCAAAGGTGTGGCGGAGGCCATTCTGTATGACATTTGAAATCCCTTCCATGCTGAAGCGCTACAGGTAGCGACAACGCCGCAGGAGGAGAGAAGGGACAGAGAGAAGTTCAGAAGACTATTAATCAGCATTTACCAAGACGAACGACAAAGAAAAGCTCTCAGATGTATTTCAGCACATTCCTCTTTTGTCATTCATCTACTTAATTTTAATCACTAAAAAGCAAACTTTATCATGGCAGTTAAGCAGGATACCTACATCAAAATTTAATCAAAGTCTTCACACTGCAGAGCCAATAATTGAGAATTGCCTTATAAGGCTGTTTCATTTTGAAATGTAGAAAATAGTCTTTTTAAAAGTTTACTTCACAGTACAATCTCCTTTAAAAGTCTCTCATTTGGCCAATACACGTTGTTAGAGACACTGCTGATAGTAATTTTTCAGATTTTAAGTACCTACTAGGCACAGTGTTCAGAGGTAGTATTCTTCAGCTTTACCTCTGTAAAGCATTTTATGCTTTCATGCTTCCTTCTCCACAACTGAAGCAACAATCAGTATGGCTTTTTTTTGTAGTATGATAAAATATACACAATTAGTCAATAATGCATCCATATTAATTTCAACTCCATTACATGGAATCATGGAATCCAAGTAAAGAAAAATTAATTTTATTTATTTTTTAAGCTTTGTAATCCGTTTTGCTTGCTGAAGAAGTCAAAAACACCCAAAACAATTTTGATGTTTGGCATGAGATATAAAAAGAAGAAACCATCAAACTGCTGACACAGGGCAGTATGGTGTGCACACAGCACGCTTATCTGCATATATTTATTTATGGGAGGATGAAAAAATGTGCTGGAATACTCTATTAATTTGCTTTCTAAAGCACAGTGAAGTCAGTAAATAGACACACATGTTGCCAAAGCCATCTTAACTCTTTTAAGATATCCTGCTTAAAGGAACTGGTATCTTCAAGCCCTGACTATTTTTAATTACTCTCCAGGTTTGCCGTTGTAAGAGGTAAAATTTTTAGAAGGCTAAGAAAGTGATTTAGTCAAAGACTGTATCAAGGACAAAGAATTAAAAGCTCCATTTATTAAAATTCAATTATAGTACCTACAGGAGAATTGACTTAGAGTATGAAATTTTAACCCTACTTCCAAGCTTTGTGTAAGGTTACTAATTTACACACTATTAACAGAAACTCATGCTTCATGAAGTTACTTGAACACTATCTGTATGCACTCTCAGCACTTCTTTAAAATGGGAAAAAAAAAAAAGGGTGTTATTGGAAGGAAGCTTGCACCTCTTTCTGGAATAAAGCTCTCTCTGATGATAGTGAAAGCTATTTTTGAAGGAACCACACATATGCAGCCTACTGTCTTACTTGGGAGCTAGTTTGTTCAATCCCTCTCAGAAAGCAATCTGACTCATTTGTCTACTGAGGCAACCAAATATGAAAATGTTTTATATTGTGATCACATACAGTTATACTTGAAAGCATCATTCAAGTTTCTAAACTTGAAACTAACCAGAATAGCTCATGAATCACTTGACTGAAGTCTCAAAACCAAATGATTATTTTTCTCCCTACTTAGCATACCACTTTGTTTTTCTATGACTGAGAACCAAAAAAGGAGCACATTTGAGTTTTTCACTGTGCTCTTTTGCAAAGGGATGACTATTTTTTGTTTTCCAGACATATTCTTAGAGCTCCATGAGAAGTTAGCTGCGTACACAAACACTTTTCATTAGATGGACAAGATCAGAACCTCATTTGGGTTATATCACAGGTATCGTATCAGTTTAGAAATAGATTCTGAAGCGTTAGTGTTTCATTACAAATGTGTTTTCCTTACGCTTGAAAAAGAACCCTCAAAACCTTTTGATATCAAACAGAAGCATTCTTTCTGGGATTTAGCTAAGAGCTACAATACATTAACCACATTTTCTTCATCCTATAAGATACACTAAGAAATTCTAACATTAATATCCCACTTAAGTAATTTAAAATTATACTAGAGAAAAAAAAAATGCACTGACAAGATAATAACCTATTTTCTTCAATCTCTACCTCCTATTATGGAAACTGTCTGAAAGACATTTTTCCTTTTGCTGCTGTGTTCTGTAAAGAATAAATCAAATTATCTCCTTGTACACCTGCACTACACTTTGGTCTCACTCCTGGCGCTCGTCGGACACAGTAATTCTGCCACAGGTTTCAAGAGATTCAGGAAAACACTTTTACTTTTTTCTTACCTAAAAATCAACATGATCAATAAATACCTGTACACCAACAAAAATACTGAATTTCCTGCAAGACTAACAGTGGTACACGTACTAGAATCCACACAGTGAAACCCAACAGGTGAATGAGTTTGCCTACTGACAATAGAACACAGAGCAGTACAACCAAAGACATTATTTTTGCAAGAAATGTATGCTGATTCCAGGCTAATTTCAAATAATTAAAAAGAGATTTTTTGGGTATGATCAGAATAAAATTTTATATGACCTTTTGAAAAAATTGATCTCAATAGGAAGTGCCTGAACTCTGTCTGTGACTGAAAGCATGGAAGCAGGGCACCATACATATATCTTGACATAATCTAGGACAAGCACTTCCCACAGGAAAAAGAAAAAAAAAATACTTTGAATGTATAAATAGTTATAAAATTTTTCTTACTGTTCCAGGCATATGAGCTCTTTCTTGTTTGCCATTCTGAGGACTACCATTTTTCAGCTTCTTTTTCTTCTTTGCTGATTCTTTGTGTTCTCTCTGTTTGTTTTGTACTTCGATGAGGACAGAAATGAAGCTGTTTTTCACCTCCTTCTCAAACTCCAACTCATCTCGTAAAGCCAGCTGCTGTACCAGTTCCTCAGAATAATCCTTGATAGCAGTCTCAATTTCTTCTAGCAGTTCATTTAACTCAGCAACAGACAATCTTTTTACTCCTATAAGTAATTCATATCAAGAATAATCTGTCAAGATTTTAAGCATGAGAATACTTGTGGGAATTATAAGAAAACAGTACCATGAAATTTTTCAAAACAAACAAACAAAAATTTTAAAACTACACAGAACAAGACAATGCTCCTAAAGGAATAAAGACATCACAGAGGCAACTAGATTAGCAACAACAAGAGAGTTAAACTTCCTTCTTATTTCTGAGAAATATGAAATAATCTGCAAATATGAAAAGAATGTTACCGTTAGGGAAGCTGAAATAAGATAATCATCTTATACTGACACCTTCTTATATTCTGAAATAAAGTTCTAATACTGACACCTCTGTTCACACCCTCACTATTCAAAGTAACAGGTCTCTATATTTTCTGATAACAATCAACACTTAGGCATTTCTGGAATCTTTGGATTTTTCACCTGCAGCAATATAGAAATTGTACTCTATGAGCAAGGGAATCTTCTTGAGGATATTGTTAAGGTATACATGCGTATAAAGCTTGTGTCAAGCTTTTATGGTAATATTTTAGACATAAACCAACAAAATCCTCCAAATCTTCTTTGGCTGGGAACTGTAGTCAAAAGCATGGCCTTGTATGGTCTGAAACAAAGACCTAGATCAAAATCAGCCAACAGGATCATTTCAATAAAAAATAAGCATTAATAGCTTTGAGAAAGCATGAGAAAAAATTGGCCAAAGCTATATCAGAAGCCTGTAAAATGTCAGTTTGGAAAAAAACAACCAAAAACTCCAGGTTTGGATTTTAAGGGTACTACTGGGTTAAGTGTTACACAGAGTGAAATTATGACCAAGAAGAATGTTCTGAGGCTTGCTTGGGTTAAAAGTGATCACATTCTTTGAGGACTGTCTTCCATTCCCAGTAAAGGCTGACACACCTAGGAATCTAGTAAGTCCCAGTAGTTGCTATGTCAAAGAACACTTTTCACTGGCATTTGAGAAACAACTAGTCCTGATTACACTGAAGGGTACAATCTGTTTAAGAACACTGCATATATGTTTGCAATTGTTTGGTTACAATGAATTAGTCTAGTAAACGTCATCTCTAGAAAAACTGTTATGAGTGCAAGTGCCTTCAGACAAGTGTTGAAAAATACAAATATGGCCACAAACTACAAGAAAACGCAGCTCTTAGAAGCATCAAAGGTAACAGGGAAACGTGATTCTTCCCTCTTTAATTACAGCAGGGAAAATTGATTGGAGAAAGCTGCTTGTCACTAAAGAAAAAGCAATGGAACCTGTTAAGGCAATTCTTTGTCAAGTAGCCACAGTTTTTCAAAGTATTTCAGGCCTTTAACTATTCAAACACTGTAACATACCATATGCTTAAAGATCTAATTTTCAAGTAGTTTGAACCATCCATCACATAAATTGCTGTTCAAACCACTGTAAGTACATAGCATGCAGGTTATGGCCTCTACTTGTGACACAGATCTTGGCTGTGCTCACAGCCCACAGCAGCCCTTACCACTGCAATAACCTTTTGCAAAGCCAACTCCAGTTGTCAGCAATAGCAAACAGCAACATCAACTCCAACACAAGCAGGGAGAGGAAAGGAAAATTCAGCAACAAGATTATCTGGTGCTCTGTGGGTGCCAGTCACAGAATAGGCCTTACAGCCTGTGAAACTGAGTATGCACTGTCATAAAAATTAATAGGACTAAGTTCCATATGTATTCAGTACAAAGGACACAGGTTCAGTACGTTCCATATGTATTCAGTACAAAGGACAGCCTAAAAACCACAGGTTGCACCACTGTTTTGTTTTTGTGACAGAAGACCAGAGAGCGCCCCAGTGGGTCCCAACACACAAGAACCAGCTTCACAGCCTAAGGAACGATTGTTCCAAAACTACAGGTGCAGATTACCTAACTGCTACCCTGACTTGCTCATGATAGCTCAGCTGTCACTATTAAAGCTACCAACGGGCTACACAGGAACTACCCAGCTGATGCAGGTGACTGAAGACAGAGTAGCTCTAACGCAGAAGACTACCTGGATTAAATCTTAGATACGCAGGCTAATGGACTCAGCTGCATTACCAGAGCTGTAACTAGTTTTATCTTCAGACTGTCTTAATACATGTCTTTTCCTATCCAAGAAAAAAAAAGTAAATACAAGATTTCATTTCCTGCTCTCAATCCTAAACGCTAACAGCTCTGATTTGTCTTATAAAAGCCAGACAGCTTCTAGGAAAACCTTGCAACCATTTCACAGATATGCAGACTAATTCTGAAGCAGCTTCACACACACAAAAAGCTAGTAAGAGCTTTCATAAAAGAATGACCTGAAAGATACAAAAGCAGATTCTGGGAAACTGGTGAAGCAAAGCTACACTATCTGCCAAAGTAACTCAAAGGCATTGTTTGGTCAAGGCTGACCTTTAAACCATGAAGATGGAAGAGACGAGATGAACTCCAAAGGCAAAGCAAAATAAATATGATATGAAATACCAAGCAAGCTTGATTAGCTCCAAATCTAAGGACATATGGAATTGTCAGAAAGGCAGGAAGCCCTGCTGAGAGGATTCACTTTGACTTCACATTCTCAAAATTTATGTGTTGAGACAGCTAAGAGTCCAACCATGAAAATGGGATCTCCTCCATAAATCTGAAGCGTAGCAGAAACTGTAAGTCATATCACAAAAGGTCAGCCAGATTTTCAATCTTCTACAAAATTTCTATGCTGACCAAGACTACAGGAAAGAAAGCACAAAACTTTGTATGAAGGACCGCAGCAGAAGGATCATCTAGCAAATGTTCTTTGCGACCCTATCATCTTCTAGAATTGATTCTGGCAAATATGCAAATGAAGTGAGTTCCACCATGAAACTGATTAATCACTGGTTTCTTTTACATACAACTCAACCTACTACAATTAAACTATGCATGTAATTTCTCCTTTCCTTTCCTATAAGGAAGAACAGGTGATTTAATTTGAGTAGAAAAAGATACAATGTATTTTTTTTTTTAACTTTTAAGCTTTCTGAAGACAAATGGAAGGGGAAGGAGAGAAAAATATGCAAGGTCATTATGGAAAAAAAAGCAACAGTTGTCTTATTTGTGTGTTACTATATATCAAGATATGTTGTAGTGATGGAAACAGTACCAAAGAAACACCATTTTCTGTATTTATGACACAGCTTTCAGGAGATTTAAATACAGTGTACTGGATTCAAGAAAGTGTCTCACTTTAAAATATGGGAATTAGTAAAATTTAATAAAAATTATCAACTTATCACCTTACCTATGAAGGGATGTCAGTGAATCAAGGTTCAGCACATTTGCTTTAATTTGAAATTTTATGAAGTTATACTTTCATTCTAAGTTATGAAAGTTGACAAACGTGTCTAAATCTAGTTTATTCTTTCAATACATTTTGAAAATAGTTCTGAATGCAGATATTTCATAGTAAGGACTCGCTATTAATTAATCACATTGAAAATTTACTCTTTAAACTCTTTTTAATAAGCATAAGAGCAAAATATTAAATGAATATCACTTACTCTCTTCATAGCTGTTGTTTGTACTAGATCTCTTGAGTGTTTGAATTTCCTGGGAAAGCATGGAGAGCCGATCTGACTGGGTGGGCGTTTCATCATCTTCTGGATCAGGTGATTCCTGCATCATTTCCTCTATTTCTTCAATCACCTTCAAAAGATGAAAACTGTTATGAAAAGATGAATATCATGCCTCCTGCATGAAGAGAAACAGCCTGCAATTTGAAGCAAAGCTGTTAAGAGCTTAAGTTTGGGTGTTGTGGTTTTGTTTTGGTTTTTTTTTCCCCCCTCCTTTCTTCTCCCAATTAAGAAAGATGGTGCTTGATGAAATAAATACTAAGACAGGATGGAAGAGTATCGATAAAATTGTATTGATATTTCCTCCACATCCTTGCTCTCTGAGAAAAAGCTCACTTTTTCAAGGTAAACTGGTGATCTCATAACAAGCAACGTATCGAAACCACAGTTATTCCTGTACGAAGGTACACATGGTTCTGCCTAAGAGAACTGAACTAAAGAGTGAGCTGGAATATTTTTCCTGAGTATTCAGTTGAAGAAAAACAAAATGACAATACAATGAGTTCCCTCCCTATCTCCCATTTTACTACATTTCTCCAAGACAAAATCAACCACAAGCTCTTCATAGGTAAACCATTTAAAAAACAAAAAAAATACATTCTTGTGTTTGCTTACTAAAGCAGGATCTTAATGGACAACCAAACACCTTACTCAAAAGAGCAATTTTCAAGATAACTTAAGTAATTTCATGGGCTTGAAACAGAAGCCTTTAGACACTAAGTAATTTGAAAACTTAGCAGTAGAACTGCTGATCTGCTTTTGCCTCATACTCGGCAAAAAAGTCAAAGAACTGTCTCTAGCCACGAAGCCCTGTGAAAACAGAAAAGTCCACACAATCATGCTGGAAAACTACAAACTCTACAATATCAACACTCTGAAAATAATTCGCTTAACACATTTTTAATTTACTAGTATTTCCGATTAATTCACGGCAAGAAATGCATAAGAATTTCAAACACCTTGGACTATCACCCAAAGCACTGGAATACTTTTCAAATGTGAATTACACTCTAATATCTCACACATTATTATGACAACTCTAAAATAAAGAACAATCAAGAAGCTTAGCTATGGTTAACAGCAAGGAAGAACAACAAAAAATAATTACAGACTATAAGAAAAATCTACATGAACAACACTGTCTGCTGAACACTTCACCTGCTCTGCTGTGAAGAGTGGTTCATCATTGATGCAGGAAACAATGATAGAATGCATATCCAGCTGCTCTCTTAGCTCTTCGTCATCTGACAGGTCAAGGTTCAGGTTATCATTTACCTAGAAAGCACGAAAAAGTGTATTTTTAGAAATACATATATAAATAAAAAATACAGGTACATATATTAAAGCCAGCAGGGGAACTAGTATTGAATTTTAAGAATGAAATAGATTCCTTGCCCATAATAATGCAATCAATGATTCTTGCTGTCAAATATCTGGAAACTGAAGTACGTTAATGTTAACAACAGACATCAAAACTGCTACTGGAGGAGGTTAAAATTGCTGTCAGTCTTTAGAGCCTTTAAATACTCTCAGCATACAAAGACCATATGCACAATGACATGCAAATACCTGCACGGAAGGCAGGCAAGCCAATGTAGATATTTAAACCTTAAATGAAGATAGACATTTGGGTAGTGTGGGGCAAAAACCTACCTAAAAATCTCTAACATTACATAAACTTGTTATTTTATATGCTTTTATAGTTTACTGTTTCACATAATAAAAGACACAAAACAAGTTCTTCTAAGAAACAGAGCATGGTTATCACCCCAGATTATTTTACAAATATTGTTGAGTATTTCATGGTCTTTTCAAAAAGAAACAGATGTAATGTTGTCCCCACATACACATCATGTCACACATCCTTCAAAACCGAAGATGTATATGCAGTAAAAGGAAAAGTTTAAGTTCCCTCCTTAATCAGTCAGGTGCATTCTGCTCTCCACAGTCACACATTCTAGTTCATTTACAGTTGTTTGCTTTTTCTGGATTTTGTCTATTACTGGATTCCAGCCAAACCAACCCAGAAAAGCTCCCCACAGCCCCCAAAAGCTATAAGCCCTAACATTTGGCATTCTGAGTTACATTGCTGTTTACCGATCTCTGGGATAATTGACAAGTATTATGACGAGCTGTATAAAAACCTTGGTCTCACTGTATCAGTTTTCAATTTTTGTTCTAAATCCTCTAATTTTCCCAGTTTCTTCAGAAACATCAACTGCTTTCAGATTCACTCTGAAGATGCTACTGATACCCCCAGGTAGCTAGTCAGTAGGGGAAAATGTATGATTTGTATTTCTTCAGCCATCAGAATGAAGTAAAATATCCACTTTTTTCCCCCAGAATCTGAATCCCCATAACCACGCAGTGACAGAGCTCCACTAAAAACATCTGTTCACCTCCTGCACAGATAGATCCCACTCTTGACATTCTTTGACATCTGCAGTCCTCAAATACCTTTGCATGTATACGAGATTATGACAACGACTATGGGATGGTAAGCAAGGACAGCAGTTTGTCTAGGAAGTCAGCTTCCCCTCCTGACATCTCCAGAAACAACATTTTGAGAGACCATATGACTATATTCTGATAGTTTAGGGTAATAAACCACCTAAACCAGCCCAAGCTACAGCTGATGCTGAAAGGACCAACTGGCCTTCCACCCAGCCATGCTCCATGCCCATTTCTGTCCTCACACTCCTGCCAGGGATGACCTTTGTAAAAGAAACCTGACAAGAATAAACAAGCAACTGCACAACCCTGTTCCTTGTACCACTCCACAACACTTCCCACCTGACTATTTCTTTCAATGTCAGAGCCTCAGAAAAGTGTTCACAGATCTATGATCTGAAGCAACAAAGATTAGATGAATCAGCCCATCCAGCTTACATTTTTCCTGCTAAAACAGGAAGAGAAATACTTTAAGCACAACTTCGACACCATATTATTAGTTTCAAATGCATAGAGGAAATGTTGCTTAGCTGTTAGTATTCATTGTAAGGAAGTTAAAACAAGCTACTGGCTGGTCCATATGTGCTGTTACATATCCACAAATTCTGCTGAAACACAGAGAAGTAGAAGAAAAGTATGTCAAACGCTCCCAAACAGATGGGCTCTACACATCAAAAGGCATGCCAGGTGGAGTGAAAGCTGAAAGAGATTGATATCTTTAACCCATAAACTGATTTTCCCTCTACTGGCAGCATACCCAAGATTCTTTATAATTCATCAACACCACTTCACATTTTGTTATGTCATTCCATTATAACTTCAAAGAATTTACAAAATCTTTATGAAACATTTTTTAGGATTATACCTAGTTCCTTATCAAGAAATCTATCAGTCTTCCAATCCATTTTTCAGTCACAAAACAAGGTCACATCATGGGAGGCTCTACGTCTTTTTACTTTAAGGATTTAATTATTCTAAAACCGCTTAGAAAAACAGAGCAAATGCTTTAATAAAAATTAGAATAAACACAAGTAAAATTCAAGGGATAATCATCAGACTCAAATTGAGAAAGTGATTTCCAAATTGCCATTTTCCATGTTGAACACCAAAGTACCTTCTTCAGCAGAACAATCTTTGTTCCTGTCACAGTAAAAAGTAGCTCTGGATTATGCAATGGATATAATATAAGAAGCCAAAACATTACCCTATTATCAGGTTAGACAAACAGATATTTTTTTGTAACATAACAACTTCACTACGCTTAAAAAAGATAAGCCAATGGTTTCCTCTGAAGACCTGAGAGATGGAAATTCTTCCTAACTTTTCTTCCTGAAGCATTTTAATCCACTTTTAAGAAGATCAGAGGACATCCTTTTCCACAAACATCTCTGAAGCTCTTCATTCTCTGCTCCCTTCCCAGACAAATACTCCACTTGTAAAAGTTTGGTTTGGTTTTCTTATTTAACACTTCAGTGTCTCCTGGGTCACACTTCCTATAAAAGGAGACACTTTAGTCTCCATCTGACTGCAGAATGAGATGAACTTAAAAGTCTACACTGGATTTACTAAATTGGAGTACTCCCACCTCTTTTCCTCCCTTATCCGGAATAGCATTCAGCATGACACAGTAGAAAGATTTTCTGTGAAAAACTTTCTCATTTTACTTTTTTCTGTCATGCTCTGACTCTAATGAACGTCCATGCAAAACTAACCCCGAATTATTCAAACCCAAAGAGATGCAAAGAGACATCAACAGTTTTTTGACTGTTTGAAACCTCTCGTGTATAATGCCAAGCACTAAAAATATTTTAAGCCCTTTAATAACAACACTCTTTTAGACAGACATGAATTGTTTTATTTTCCTCCTGAGTATAAAGGACTCAAAGAGGTTATTTCTGCTGATCAGAACTTACCCCCTTTTCTGAAAGATTCAGTGTTGGCAAGTGCAAAGCTCTGGTGTGGGAAGATTTCCAGTCAACTGGCATTACGTTCCCATAATTATCAGTCAAAGCATTCCAAATCCTGGAGAGAGGAATAAAGGAACAAAAATGCAGACCTTAAAACAAGCAGTAACTGATCAGCAGTAAATATATTTGTAATGATAATATATTTCTATCAACAACTATTTTTTCCTCCCTAAATATTCATCTACAAGTTACTGACAATCTTGTTATATTTTGAAGCTAAGAGAAATTTTTTTTTGATAAACGTCATTTATTTCCCCCTTTAAACCAAACATGTACACACAGCAGTGAAATAAATGCAATGAAGAGACAGCTTCATTACTTATCATATACTGATACTCAAAAATTTTTTGAATGAATGAATCCTTCCTTCAATGAAATCTAAGCTCAGCCATAAATTTCATTCCTAGTGTTGTTCCTGTTTTCTTTGCCTTTTGCACATAAAATAACGAATTAGCAGAGGCTGTATAGCAAATTCTGAGCCAAATCGTTTTTTGTTTCTGTTTAGTACAGAATAGTGAACATGCATAAATTATACAAAAATTTTGCAAGAATTTTGTTTTATCCAAAGTAGTCTTGCTGAGGTCAGCCCACCGCTTTCATCTAAATGTTGTTCTCAACTGTGTCTACACTGTATAACCTCTCTGTCTGTCCTAGAGGTTTGCCTGTGCAGCCCCATCCTGGTATACCAGCTCAGATTTTGAAACACAGCAGCCCTGTTAGCAGGTTGCTGCCTCAGGTCAGCTAACAAACGCTGCCTCTAAGTGCTAGGCTGTGGGTGCATGTTCGGAGTGGTTGCCTAGCTAGGCTCAGAGGAGGCCAGAGGAATGGCTGAGCCAGACACAGAGGGCAGACAGTCTCCAATTCATGGTTCTCTGGACTTACCTCACTGTTTGTATCATAGGTATCTAGGCTTTTGCTAAGTTTTTTCTTCCCTCTCAGAGTACGACATGCAGTTACCTCAAAGTAAAACTGCAGTCTTTTTAATGAAGATAAGCTGACAGAAATTTACTGCAAAATAACAAGCATAAATACTTGTAAAATAGTGTTAAAAACAGGAAAGCAACATAGATCAGAAAGGCTCTATTGCTCAGAGGAAAAACATAATTATCACAGTTGCAGCTGTGACTTTGCTCTCCATCTGCTTTCTGTACTTTTCATATTTAATTTTAAACACTGTCAGAGGGGGCATTTTGCGAGAAACTAAACAAATCCTACCCTCAGTCACTCCACATTTGAGAGCAGCTACTTTTTCCTGTCCCGCAGGTAGGAGGCAGCGGGATGGTCCGCTCTCCCCCGGGGCCAGGGGAACAGGACCCGAAGGGTCGATGTGAAGGCGGCAGCGCACAGGCCGGGCTGCCCCCCCCAGCCCAGGCCCGGCGGCTCCCAGCTGCAGTCCCGC